AAAGGTTCAGTCATGATATCTATCTAGCACGCTGCATGGAGGAAAGAGATTTAGCACATGCCTAGAAACATTATTTACTTTCCTCTTTTTGAGTGTCTTCAGCTGAGACTTCAGCATGAAACAAAACGGTAGGCAGAGTTTTCAGGAATGGGGGAAGAAATGGGAGGTAATTGGAAACCCCATATCATTTATACTAGGTGTAAAAGTGATCACTATTAAGGGAATGATAGAATCACTTCTGTGCACAAGGACGGGTGAATACATTCAAGGAAGACATTAACCAAGTCACGTCAGATCGGTGGCATGAATGGTGGCTGCTCTAATGATAAGTCATCATCTCTCAGTCTAAGGACACATTTTCATTGCCCAAACTTGCAAATGAAATTAGGATTCTGAAAAGTAAGATTCCCTGCCTCCTCATCGAGGCTGTGTTTTTGGACATGTTTAACAAAAGAATAGGTAAATTGTGACTGAGTATAAAGAAAACAACAACTATTGTTGTTGTTTTGGCTTAGTTGGAAGCCCCATCTATCAGTGGAATGATGGTCACCTTGGTGTTCAGTCCACACCAGGATTAAAGGCACCTCAGCGCATGCAACTGCCATGTCTGGCTCCACCTACATGACAAAGACTCACCGCATAATTCAAGGGCAGACAATTCAGGATTGTCATCAGCTGCTCATTGTCTGAGATGTGCACAACTGAGGGTGGAAGACCAATATACCGCCAGTGACTTTTAGAAATGGTAAATGAGAAGATCCTCTACTTCAGGAGATAAGTAAAGAACAGAAGAAATTGATGGACTATCAATTGGGTTGAAGCTGCATCTGTTAGCCAGCATGGCTGTAGGTCCTCAGGTGGCCCTTGAGGCCAATGGGGTGTTGTCAACAAATCGCCGTTTCCGTTTTCAAGAGAACAGTTAAATATCACTTGTCCAAAACACACCTCTCCCCAATTGTTGAATCGGATTGTATGACTACCTTCCTTTCCTTTAGAAAAAGCTACCACTGCATTTGCCGTTTTCATCAGCAAAGGGAGCACAGGCACATGTTGCCATGTGCATTCCTGTTTCACACAGGAGACCCCTTGCCTTCCCTGTCCCTCACATTGCCGCCTCCATGAATGGCTGGAAATGGATCCTTGGCCCACTCCTTGCTCAATACCTCCTGGCTCCTCAGCACTGCACTGCACTGCACTGCACTTTCATACAAGACAGTAAACACAACGCTTAGCAAATATGCACACATTGCATATTTCACACATGACAACCCCACACATTGCATATTGCACACATGACAACCCCACAGTTAACACCACAAAGATGGCTGAGCAAAGAGGACACTTCCTGGGCTGGACTGGGGAACAGCCCTCTTTCTGCGGCCACAAAGGGGCGGTTGGAGCAGCGTGGCCTTTAGGGGAAGGGGAGTGGAGGAGCTGCCGGTTCCTTTGGCCTTTTCGTGATTCAAGAGCAAACTCCAAGGGTGCTTACTTTTCACACCATACGCTTAATAGCCCTGTACCTTGGCTTTACTGACCTCAGTGGTATTCTATGAAATCCTGGACCTTGCCTTTTGGGGTGGCATCAGAATTCACTAATTGAGATTTCTAAGCATCCCTTCCTAAACTGCAAATCCCAGGAGTCCATCAGGTGGAACCATGGCAGTCAAAGCGGAAGCGTTACAACCAGATCGTGCCTCTTTGAAGCTCCTTTTCTTCATAACACTCCAAGATTGTGTATGTATGTGCATGAAAGAGAGATTGAGAACGGGAGAGAGAACAGGTAGGCTGTCAGGAATTATGTGAGTTGAAGTCCAAAACACCTGGAGGGAGGGCCAAATTTGGCCCATGCCTGCTCTAAAGGGAGAAAACTCTTTTCCAAGTTCCCACAAGCATTGCATTGGAATGTAGGGCTGAAACAGAATGATGATCCAGACAACAGCCAAATATCCAATTTCTGGGGCTTTTTTTCACCAGACTGTCCTGGTCTACTCATATTGCTTCCATTGCACTCCAAGATCAAGTAAGCAATCCTGTCATTTTGCGTTTTACTGCTACTAAAGGGGGGCAGTTCATACTTTCGGCAATTAAAGCTGCTGTGCTTCCAGCATCTGGTTTGAGGGCCTAACATCAAAATTATACCAACAGCAAACACAGTTTTTGAGGGGCCCTTTCCAGCTCCCCAGATGTGTACCATCCTGTGTCTTATTACTTGAATCCAGGGAAGCACCCCTGTCAATAAGAGCCTGGTGGTGAGCACTTAAATATTGGCTCAAGATCCAAGTTTTTAGTTTAGGGTCTGGTTTGATGTTTCACTTAGCTCAAGATGAGTACATAAGCAGTTCATTTAAGATCAATTCTAAGAAAGCCCTCTCCACTGGCCTTTCTACATCCCTTCTAACTCATCTGGGTTTTGACATGGCTCTCAAATCAATCAAGACCGAGATATTGCCTTTTGTGAGCTGCGCTCTTGCTCTTATGTATCTTATTCTCCTAGTGCCCTGTCCATCCATTATGTTGGGCCTTTTCATGCCGCAAACTATCTAAAGAACTTGACTGTAGTCAAATATCACTGCTTATTTTCCAAAGCAAGGTGCAATCTGCTCCCATCGGAATTGATTTGCAGGTATCCCATATAACAAAAGACTCTGCCCATGTAACAAACAGGAAGTAGAATGCATCTACCACATTCTACTGTCATGCAGTTTCTATGAACAGGCCTGAGCACACATAATCAACCCGCTACTAAGGAATTTAAGTCCAGTGAAATTTTATGTGGCATTTCTACTTAGTGATAACCTTCCTCACGTGACCTTGGCAGTTGCCAAGTTTCTTTCTGAAACAGCCAGAATTAGACAATTCCCAATTTTAGACACAGGCTGAAACACGCCTGCAATTATTGTAGTCTTTTACCTATGTTTTTAGCCAACATGTATTTTAAGCAGTTTTTAACTATTGTAAATTTTATCCATTTGTGTGTTCAATCAACTGGTTGTTCTTAATCTCATTACCTGCATACTTTGTATGTCTACAGTGCAATAAGGGTCTTTGGACCATAATAAAATGTTGTTGTTGAACAGACAAAAGGACTGTCTGCATCACTTGCTTGTAAATATAAAAAAGAAGCTCAGCTTCACACCCAATTAATGTAGCTTGCATTTAAGCCCTAGGAGTAACTTTCTTCACTAGGAATTTCAGCCAAAATGAAGTCCACAACTGCAGAAGTTCTCTTCCCCTGCTCAGAAAACACTTTGGGAGAAACAGTATAGCTTATGTATTCAGCTCTGAGATAGTTCCACATTTATGACTGTTTTAGTTCACCGAATTTAAGAAACTGGAGTTGAAATTATATCAAATAAATGAAACAGTTAAAATCACAATAATAATAGTTCCAAAAAATATATTAGCTTGACCCAGCAATGTAAACATTTATATCTGGTGAGCCCATCTGATGTTGTAGCTTGCAGCTGATAAAGATCAAAAGCAAAAAGTAATACTGTATGTAATCTAATCTATATCCGACTGCTCTCATAGATAAAAGGAGTGACCACTCCCCTTTCTCCAGAAGTAAATACCCTGATGCATTTCAGCAAATAGGCTGCCCTACTGCCGGTGCGTGGCCAAAAGGAATGTGGGAAAAGGAACAGAATGAACTGCAGTGCAAAGTAATTAAGTTAAATGTGGGAAGCAGAAAAATTAACAATGTTTCTCAAAGCGCCCATCTCTCCATATATATGACTTTCAAGATCTTGGGTTGTAGCGTTTGCACAAAGTTGGAATTCCTCAACATACACCCGCTCTCTGGGCCCATTTCACTTCACTATCAGTAATGTTTACCATGGCACAGGGTTCTCCTTTAGTTCCATTCCAGGCACTTGGGCCCCATCCAGACTGCCATGTAATGCAGTTTCAGAATTCTGTTTAACTGCACTAAACTGAATTATATGTGTCTACACTGCCATTTAATACTAATCAATGCAGTTAGCTGCCTAAGGCTACATGAGGACACACAATGGGGGGAAAGTTAGAAATTTAGTAGGTGAGATGGGCAGAATACCACTTTCTCCTTCAGAATGCTTAATGAGATTGTGCAGCTACATCTCAGCTTGCAGACATCATTGGCATAAATAAACAACCTGATCCTTCAGCTATGGGCCAGTTTCTGGTATTAGAACCAAGTGTTTTATCGAGAAGGAGCATGGAGTCCTTTCCCTTTCTGCCACTTATCTCCTTGTAGCCCCTCTTCCCCAACATCGTGGATGGGGAAAAGATGGACTGGATTAGATGGACAGTAATCCACTTCCATGGAAAGCGGATACATATATTCACGCCCCACATAATGTACCACCTGAACAATGGAAACCTGATTGAGTCATATTTCCAGGCATTGAGATCTTTGCAGGACACAAGTAATTTTGACTTATGGAAACCCAAAAGCCACGTGGTTCCCTTGGCATGATTTGTCTGGAGGCTGAGAGAGTGTGACCTGCCCAAGGTCATCTGGTGGATTTCCGTGCCTCAGCAGAGACCCGAGTCATAGTCCAAAGCCAAATTACTGCACCACACTGGCTGCCACAATTATTATTATTATTATTATTATTATTATTATTATTATTATTATTATTATAGCATTCCAGGATTTTTTTCTGCCATGTAATTAGAGCATCTCGATTCCACTTTAACTGCCATGGTGGTGTCCTCTGGGAAGGTGGGGCTTGTAGTCTGGAAAGGCACAAATTCCAAACTTGACTCCCTACTCTGCAAACCCCAGGATTCCATAGGATGGAAGTACGGAAGTTAAAGTCGGATAGTTTAGTGCTATAACTGTGTAGTGCAGAAAGGCTCCATGTCTTGACAAACACTAGGCTGGAAGACGGTGTATATTCGATTTTAGTATGACGACTGACCACTGTAGTTTTAAATATATGTGCTTTTTTAATGTTTTATTGTAATGTGTATTTTGATATTTTACCGATTGTATGTGTTTTTATGGTTGGAAACCGGGCTGAGTCCCTCTTATGAGGTGAGAAGCTCAGTATATAAAACTTTGAAATAAATAAATAAATAGGCTGAGGCAGATGGAGAGGAAATGGAGGCTGACAGCGACTCAGCTCAGCAGGCCCTTGAGTTGTACTCTGGTGCTTTCAACTCTATCTTGCTCTAGCATCTTCCTTTCCAGAAGCATCGCACCCACTGCCACCACCTCCATAGCCTATCCAGCAATGCCTTAAGGTGGCTCAGGCATTTCTAATGACAGAGAGATGGATGTGTAATTTTTGCGTCCTTTACCTTTCAGCCTTCCAAGCCAGTTTTCAGACTATATTTACTTTGATGGGTCCTAATGTTTGGACGTAGCCCCTTTCTTGTCTTTTCCTAACTACATACCAATGCTTATGTTTGCTGTGGCTTCCTCTACCCAGTCCCTCTAGCCTTCCAGAGATCTTCTTCTTCTATAGGGCAAGCTCCCTTTACCTGATCAAAACAGATCCTGGTCCTGCCTTCACAAAGCTAGGTATTTTTGGCAAGGGTGTACGCTAAACCAAAATAAAAAGTCACCATAGTTTCGTCCTTCCTGTTCAATCCTGCCAATTTTCCAGACCAGCAGTGAGCCCCTAGGACTTGATGTCATATCAAATACTATGTGGACAAAATCACAAACATGCGTGAGGTGTGGCAGGCACCTAGCCTGAGGACAAAGCAAGTCTGAAAGGAGTGGAAGATATTATTCTCCTTGCTAAACATCAAGTCCTAGTGCTCCAGTCCTATGAGCCCTGGTTCACTACAGAAAGGGAAATCTGAGCCTTTTTTGCTTCTACATAAGCACAAGTTCGACCACCCTCTCACTCCAAAAACTAACACAGAAAATTCATATATGGAACAACTGGAAAATGATGAACCAGACCCGGATTAACATTGGTTTTAGTATGGCAAGTGCCTCCCCTGCTGCTCTTGTTCCCAGTGGCCAATGAACATGCAAAATGCATTGCAAGTCTGAAAATGGAGAGGATCTTAGGCAACTGTTTGTTTGTTGTTTTTTTGTTTTGTTTTTTACTGTAGGGAGCCAGAGATGAACTTACATAGAATATCAGTGTAGGGAAGTGACTGGGAAATAGGCTAAAAAACCAGAACAGTCATAATTATCACCAAGGTTATCTAAACCAGACTGGAAGCTTGGCAAGAATTCTAAAAGGTTCTTCAGACCACACATCACCTATATTTCTGTGCAATAGTGTAGGTGCCCAAATTAGGAGAGAGGGTTAAGAAAGAGTCAGCAACTCTGCAATGCCATGGCTAACTTGTGCCTATTGCACACATCAAAGACAGATCCAACTTACTGCACAATACACCTGGCACAAGCGGGAAGCCGCCGGTACCTGTCAAGACATTTTTCCCTACATTGTGTGTGTGTATGTGTGTGTTTAGTGTCATTGTCAAGTTTAAACAGATGGCTCTAGCCTGGCTGAACAAATGAAGGCAAGGAAAACAAGGAAGGCAGCGGAGCGGAGAGAGCTTCCGCAACCCACCAATGGGGCCTGAGCTGGTCTCACCCAGGCACCCAACTCTGGTTGGTGGCCTGCGGAGTGCTAGGCAACGTGGCCATGTTGAGGCCATTTTGTGGTGGAAGAGCAGAGTCAAAGTTGAAGTCCATTTCATCACTGTCCATGAAGTCATTCAAGATGATGGACTCCACGTCACACTCCAAACTACCATTGAACATGTCCAAGTCCAAGTCTGCTGGGAATCTCTCCTGACCCAAAACAGGGGTGTGCATGGCTTCTGGGTAGGGTCCCTGTAAAGAATCCAACAAACTCATGTGCGCCCCTGGATTGTTGACATAGGAATGGATGTGCCCATGGTGGGGCATGGCCGCCATGCTGCAAGTGTCGCTGGGCAGGCTCATAAGGCTGATGGGAGTGGGTAAGGCACTGTTGTTGACAGAAGGGTGGTGGCTGGCTGATGACGGATGGTACAATGCACCACTCTTCATAAGGGAGGGTGAGTGGGGGTGGTAGGAAACCAGGCCAATCTCCCCGCTGCAACTGCTACCACCATTGCCACTGCACATGAGAACATTTGGTCTGTGGCTGCGAGGTGGCGGACCCATGCTGTTGGCCTGTGGCAAGTGAGAGTCACTCTCTTTGTATGTGTAGGAGATCGAGGAAAGCAGATCCTGCAACAAAGAGTTGCGGTAAGAGTGCATGGGAGCAAAAGTGGCCTGTTTGTTCTCCTGGATGGTCTGCATGGGCAAGCGGCGCATGAGGCTCATGGCAGGCTGGCTGTAGATGGTCCCACAGTAGGTGCTGCTGCTGCCACCTCCCCCTCCTCCAGTGCCCACAGCAGAGCACTTGGTGTTGAAGCTGAAGCTGGAATTCCTCTGTCGGAGAGCGCCTGCAGAGAGCGGCTGGCCAGGGCTCAGGCTGTAGTTGTCCTGCAGGTCATCCAGCAGGCTCTCGCCGAGGCTCTCGTTCAGATTGATGGTGCCGGTGAGGTCAGCTAGCCTGGGCATCTCAACAGAGCAACGGGCATTCAGGGAGGGGGACATGGTGCTGGATGGGCTTGGGTACATCAGCGGGGAAGATGGAGTCCCATCCTCCTCTTCCAACTCATCCGGCTCATGGTTGGCCATAATGGGAGAAAGGTGTCCACTCAGTGTGCTGGCTGAGGAATTGGCTCGTGTCCGAAAGTCAGCCCAAGCATCGTACTCCTCGCTGGTGTGCGAGGAGGGGCTTCCAGACCACTTGGCTGGAGGCCCAGCTGGGCTCTCCTCCCCGCTGCGCTCCTGGGAGGCTTGGAGCTGTTTCTTCTTGCTGGCTTTGCCTTTGATCCGCAGGAACTTGCTGTTATTGTCCATGGAGACAGCTCGCCGGCGTGGCGTCTTTCCCGTTTTCCCACCCTCAGGGTTCAGCATCCACCAGGAGCTCTTGCCAGTGCCTTCGTTTTGCACGCGGATGAATCGGGTGTGTAGGGACAGGTTGTGGCGGATGGAATTCTGCAGGCAAAACACAAGAAAAGGAGATCTCCATCATTGCTAGTTAGCAGATTTGCCATTTACAAAGCCCGCCACACAGAGCCCCTTCCATCCCCATACTATCACATAAACAAAGCTTCCAAGAGTTGCCTTTTCTAACCACACCTCCCCGAATCCTCCTGCCATTGGCCATGTTAACTGGGCATTTCTGGGAGTGAAAATGTAATTCTCCGAAGTTTTACACACAAGACTACCCACCTGGCTTCAAAGCCTCCATGGGGCACATACTTTCTGCACTACCACTTTCATATGAAAACAGGAATGGGAATCCTGTGGGTTTGTGGGTGTTGTTGAACTCCAGCCTATAAGATAGCCAATTACCAAGGATAATGGGACCTGGGAGCCAATGATGTTGGAAAGGCCACAAGCTTCTCCTCTCATTATAGAAAACAAGTTGAAGTTTACCAGAAGGCCAAATTCTCTATTCTATTCCAATTTCAGGGGATGGTAGAAGGTACATCTCATGTACAGATAGATACCATGACTCTCCTTGTGACCTAAATTATATGCGTAAAAGAAGAAAGTCTGTGGTAATTAGAGGGAGGTATTGAATGAAAGGACTGTGAGGTCCACTCATGATCACTACTTAATTTTTCGACTTCAACATTTTACTTTCATATGTTCATCCAGCAAACAACCAATATAGTCACCACACCACAAACTTGTATGCTACTGAAGGATTATAAGGAGAGGAACAGTCAGGAATCGAGTCAATCCTTTTTGACCCCCAAATACTGGTACACTGAGCACAACTGAGCAGCCAGACATGGCATCCACTGCAAAGACAAAACTAGAATCAAACTTCATTTGAATTCATTTAGACCTACTGAACTGCAACTCCCAGGATTCCATAGCAGGTGTCAAACTGCAAATCCCATTGAAATCCAAATGAGGTTTTGATTTCAGTGGGATTTACTCTTGAGTAAGCCTGCCTCCAGCTTCCCAGTGTAGTTCCACTTCAAAATCTGTGCAATTTGACACCTCTTGAACTGCCATGGCTAATGCTATAGAATCATGGGAGTTATAGTTTCACAAGGTCTTTCGGCAGAGTGCCTCCACAAACTACAATTCCCAGGATTAAGTTTAGCATTGCTTTAACTACCATGACTTGAAGGTTATGGGATCCTAGGAGTTGTAGTTTGGGAAGGCCCTGGCAGATCAGGCTCAACATTGTAGAATGGATGCAGTTTGACCCCATTTGACCCAAATTCTTAGGGTTTCTCTGTGTCAAAAAAGAGAGATACCAAACCAAAAATTATCCCCTTCTTTTAGGTTTTGTCTTTGTAGCTTGAAAGGAAAGGGTTTGGGGTTGAAAGCTTAACCTGAAATGGGCTTCTTTACCCTGTTGCAGAGCCACCGTTTGTTTCATCGTATGGCTAACAGAACTAAATAGATGCAGGTTCAGAAGCCAAGGTTAAATTGTGATGAGCAAGAAATTATGCTTTTAGGGAGCACCCTAAAGGCAGCTTAAACTGTGGTGTGATACCACTATGTAACACATTTTTGTTCCTTTATTATAAGTGTCACCCCATCTCTCCCTCTGTCATTCTGAGATCAAGAATTTATATTTTGAATTATGCTCAGTAGCATATTGGCAGCCAGTGGAGCTGGAGCAACAGAGGAGTTGTATGCTCCCTGAGTGCCGCTCCTGTTAGCAACCTAGCCGCCACTCCGGTGGACCATTTGGAGCTTTTGAACAGTCTTCAAAGGCAACCCCATGTAAAGAGCATTGCAGTAGTCTACATGGAATGTAACCAGAGCATGGACTACCATGGCCAAGTCAGACTTCCCAAGGTATGGGCGCAGCTGGCCCACAACTTTTAATTGTGCGAATGCTCTCCCAGTCACTACCGAAACCTGGGGTTCCAGGCTCAGCGATGAGTCCAGGATCACACCCAAGCTGCAAACCTGCACCTTCTGGGGGAGTGTAACCCCATCCAGCACAGGCTGTAACCCTATGCCCTGTTCGGCCTTACGACTGACCAGGAGTACCTCTGTCTTGTCTGGATTCAATTTCAATTTGTTCGTCCTCATCCAGACTGTCAGGAGCCCCTGGTGGCGCAATGGGTAAAACCCCTGTGCCGGCAGGACTGAAGACTGATAGGTCACAGGTTCGAATCCGAGGAGAGGCGGATGAGCTCCCTCTATCAGCTCCAGCTCCTCATGCAGGAACATGAAAGAAGCCTCCCACAAAGATGATAAAAACATCAAATCATCCAGGCGTCCCGTGGGCAATGTCCTTGCAAACGGCCAATTCTCTCACACCAGAAGCGACTTGCTCCTGACACGACAAAGAAAAATCCAGACTGTCACAGCGGCCAATCACCGGTTCATCCGAAACTCTGGATGATCTCCCCCAATGGTTTCATGTAGATGTTAAACAACATGGGAGACAGTAGTGAACCCTGCGGAACCCCACAATACAATGGTTGTGGGGTCAAGCAGGAGTCTCCCAACAACACCTTCTGGGAATGATCCTCTAGAAAGGACCGGAGCCACTGTAAAACAGTGCCTCCAAGGCCCGTTCCCATGAGATGTCCCAGAAGGATATCGTGGTCGACGGTATCGAAGGCCGCTGAGAGGTCCAGCAGAACCAACAGGGACACACTCCCCCTGTCTAGCTCCCGGTGCAGATCATCCACTAAGGCAACCAAGGCTGTCTCGGTACCATGGAGACCAAAATCCACTGATTGTGGTAATGTGAAAATAATTACATAAACTATACATCACAAATACACATATCAAAAAATCAGAACTGCCACATTCATTAAGTAGAAACAACTGGTTCTTCTCTTAAAGTATGAAACAAAATCTTCGTGTGGGTAAATGTCCTGTTCTTTATTACATATGAGTAGACTCCGGTAGTCACATGAGTTGACTCCAACCTGCAACCAGTTTTGACTCACAAGAGCCTTCGTCAGGCAGTTGGGTCTACAAACAACACATATCATGAATACACACATACAGTTGAACAATTTGTTATATCAAGTTTGTAAGAATATATACAGACACTCTACTTACTCATATTATCAAAAAAGGCTCAAAAAAAGCTCAACTATTGAGGTGAGAAATTCACCAACAGTCTTCTGGAGGGGTGGATCCTAAAGGGACATACATAGTGGCTAAAGGTAGCATTGCATTGTGACATAAATTATAAGCCATACATAGAGAAATATAATATCTATGAAACAAAAATAATATAATACTCACAGCTAATCTTTGTTGACCAATATACTCTGCAAGGCATTTTATTCTGTGGCGAGTATAAGATCAAAATAACTCAACCCATTACTAATATAGCAAGTCCATTGGTCAGGTGATAGTGACATCATTATCAGTTCAGAATACATTGGGGTAAAACTTATTCTGTTACAAAAAACAGTCATATGAATTGGTGTTGTTTAACCCTTTTGGATGTTCTGTTTGCAGGGTAAAGATCCAGAAAGATTCCCGTTGTAAAAGTTTAGTTTGGAAGTCATTGTCTCTGGGTGGAGTAACCACCTCTAAAATCTGTACTTGAAATTATTCAGGGCTGTGGTTCAGGTCTGCAAAATGCTTATACAGAATGGAATCAGTAGAATGTTTCCTGATTTTACTTTTGTGCTCAATGATCCTGAGCTTGACTTCTCTGCTTGTTTGACCAATGTAAATAAGTGAGCAGGGACAGGTGATGGCATATACTACACCTTCAGTGGAGCAGGTAGCAAAGTGATTGATTCTATATTGAGTTTTAGTGTGCTGGTTCTGAAAGAACTTAGTTTGTACGAACTGTGAACATATAGAACAGTGATGACAAGCAAAGTTTCCTATTAAAATAAGTTTAGTGATCAATGGCTTAGGGTCTATATCTGAGTGAATCAAAATATCCCTGATGTTTTGTGTTCTCCTATGAGCAATGGGGGGGGGGGGTGTCTTGCAACCCGATACATCGCTCACCAAGTTCCAATACTTGGTGAGCGATGTTGGTCAAGAGAGAGGCCATACTACTCTGTTATCCCTGAGTTTGATCTTATCCTCTAGTATAGCAGATCTCGAAACACTGGAAGCTTTAGTACTAGCCTTATGAATCACATGTTCAGGATACCCCTTGTCTCTAAACTGATTTTGCAGTATTTACATGTTATGTTTGAAGTCCTGTGGTAAGGTGCAGTTATGTTTGATTCTCAGCATCTGTGCATATGGTAGATTATTTTTAAGGGGTATGCTGTAATAACTATTGTAATTCAGAAATGCATTTCTGTCTGAGGGTTTGCGATAATTGTTAACTAGCAGCTTATTGTTGTCTTTCATTACTTTTACCTCCAGATATGCTACACTATTGGGATTGATGTTGCCTGTAAATTTAATGCAAGGATGAAGATTATTGATCCATGTTAGTAATTCCTGAGCTGTCTGTTCATTCTGCATGATCAAAAAAATCATCTATATATCTGCAATATTTTACCATGTGGTTGTGAAGGGGATTTTTTTTGTGATTCAAAATAAATTTAACTTCCAAATCATTCATGAATAAATTGGCTATGGATGGAGCAACTGCGCTCCCCATAGCCACGCCCTGAGGTTGAAAATAAAACATTGGTCAAATCTGAAATAATTTTCCTCAAGAATTACATCAATCAAATCTAATAGAAACTGAGTAGGAGGATGTAAGGTGGGACTCAAATCAAGTGTGTTTGCACAGAATACCTGGCCGTTCTAAATGAGTTCAAGTCCCCAGGGCCACATCAACTACATCCAAGAGTACTGAAGGAACTAGCGGAAGTCATTTCGGAACCATTGGCAATCATCTTTGAGAGTTCTTGGAATGGGAGAAGTTCCAGCAGATTGGAGGAGGGCCAATGTGGTCCCAATCTTCAAGAAGGGAAAAAAGGATGACCCAAACAACTACCGTCCGGTCAGCCTCACGTCAATGCCAGGCAAGATTCTGGAAAAGATTGTTAAGGAAGTGGTCTGCAAACACT